CATTTAAATCATTATGGAGGAGGGAGAGTATTAAGATGTGGGGGAGGGGTACTAAGACTAACTGCTAGTGCTTTTAGTCAGAAAATGATGCTTAACGGTGGCTAGGTTTCAGGTGTAGACCCAGCGTTGTCAGTGAATTGTTCTTCTAGCTTTTACCTCATTTGTTTTTGAACTAACATTTTTACAGAATTGGAGGGGTATATAAGTCATACTCCAATAAAATGTATGTATGTATAAAATTTTGTTTAATCAAGTCCTAGACACCATAAAGTATCACAGGTTATTGGAATGATGAAAAACTGAAAATTTACAGCTACTTTTGGTAATTGCCAGTGACTGCCTAAAGGTATTAGGCCCTGGTTATGATGACAACAAACCACAGTTCAGTGTACTAGTATTTTATGACTTGTCTCGTTAGTTAGTTTGAAAACATTTATGTTATTGTCTTAGGTTAAACTACTGAGTGAAAAATTTTCTTCAATTAAAAAAAATTTTTTTTGGTAAAATACTTTGAAGGTTTTAGATGAATGCTTTGGGAATGTATTATGGCTTCTTAAAATACCCCTTGATTGTAGATTATACAAAGAAATCTCTTTTTTTTATAGTCTTATATATATAAACTTCAGTGATTATTCATGATATTAAAAAATGACCTATCTGGTATTTAGCACTTACATAAAATTAATGTATGATGATTTATAATAAAAACTTACAAACATACATATTCCATTTAGCACCCACTAACCACTCTACTGCTGATAAGATTCCTTTAACAAAAGTGGGACGACGACTATACACCGTAAGACACAGAGAGTCTGGGGTTGAAAGATCTATTGTTTGTCAAGTCGATGGAGTGGAAGGAAGTAAGAAGGTAACAATTCGTTCTCCAGTGCAGGTATGAAATGATCCATTTTTTTGTGGGGTCATATTATGCATATTTGTGTGCTAATAAAAAAACTAAAGCTAATTAATACCAAAAGAATATAAACTGCAATAAAATCATAACTAATATAAAAAAGAATCATTGCCAGTAATTGTACTACTCTAGTATGAACAGTGGTAGGATTTTGTTCAATACTTCTCATAACTTTTTTTTAGGACTCTTTGTAAAATCTTTTTGGACTGTTACTTTTAAATGCCTCATCAATATTTTGTTTTGGACTTGGTAGTACTATGTGTACGTCCTTTGATTTTAATTAGAAAATATGGTGAGAGAAAGTTTTTTACATCTTTATTGAGGTTAAACTGATGTACAATAAACTGCACATATTTAAAGTTGATGAATTTGGGCACAAAATACATCTGTGAAACTGTCATCACAATGAGCATGCTGAACATATTTATCACCCCAAAAAGTTTCCTCTCTCCCTACTTCTCCATTCTTACGCATCCACTGATACGTTCCCATTGTGTATTGCACATAGAGAAGCTCATGTAAACAGAGTACAAAAAGGAATAGGACTTCTTTCACTCAGCATAATTTTGCATGTATCAGCTTTTGTGTATTAATGTTATATGCAGTTACATGTTGTTGTTGATTAGTAATCTTTTGAATGGATGTTCCAAATACCATTTTGAATGAATCTTTGTATATGGTGTAAGGGTTGAAGTTTATGTTTTGCCATGTGGCTATTTAGTTGTTCCAACCAAGACTATCCTTTTTCCATTAAATGCCTTGGTGCTTTTGTGCAAAAAAAAAAATTGATCATATCGATGAAGTGGGGCGATCATGGGGTTCAGAACTAATGGCCCAGAAAGCATTCTTAAAGACGTCTTTGGTGCCAAAAGGTGATTTTATTAAAGCATGGGGACAGGACCCATGGGCAGAAAGAGCTGTGCTGGGGTTGTGAAGAGTAACTGGTTATATACTATGGGCCTGGGGGAATTAGAGTCAAGAGGAAGTTTCTTAAAGGATTTTCCATATGCCAGAGACTCACAGGTTGCTAGAGGCCTAGCTGTTTTGCTAAGGTTGTTCTTCCCTTTAGTAAAACATTAATATTAAGACGGTAGGGAGTTCTTGGGCATTAGGCTATTGATAAGATTGCCCTTTTCTTGGAATTATGCTAAGATATTTGTAAGCTGATGGAGACTCTGTAAGTTTAACCATGTGTTTTCTGTTCTTTGCTTTGTTCTTGGGCAGCCAGGAGTGCCAGAGGAATATCACACATATCTCACTGGGGGAGGGGGAGGAGCTCTGCTAGCTTGTGCTTGGCCATCAGCTTGCCTTATGGTCCCTCATCAATAACTTTGGGGGTTTATTTCAGAACTCTATCATCTATCTCATTGATCTATTTGTTGATCTTTATGCCACAATTACATTGTCTTCATTACCTTTTTATCCTGAGTCTTGAAATCAGGTAGTACAAGTTGTCCTACTTTGTTCATTTTCAAAGTTGTTTTGGCTATTCTGAGTCCATTCTATTTCCATTTAAATTTTAGACTTAGGTTTTCACTGTTGATTGAAAAGTTATGATTTAGTTGGTATTTTTACATATTTCTGATTTTTATTGCTGATAGTACCACTAATTTTTATATTAACCTATATTGTGTAATGTCACTAGATGCACTTGTTGTAGTAGCTTCTTCGTAGATATAGTTTTGATATCTGCAGATAAAGATTTTTCCTTTTTCCTTTCCAATCTGGATATGTATTATTTTATTTTACCTTTACTTCCCTGTTGCATTGGCTAGAACCTCCAGTACAGTATGAATAGATGTTCTGAAAGCAGATATTTTTGCCTGGTTCTCAATCTTAGCAGTATTCATTCTTTCACCATTAAGTTTTGAGTTGCTTTCTTTTTTTTTTTTTATTTAAAAAAAAATTTTTTTTCAACGTTTTTATTTATTTTTGGGACAGAGAGAGACAGAGCATGAACGGGGGAGGGGCAGAGAGAGAGGGAGACACAGAATCGGAAACAGGCTCCAGGCTCCGAGCCATCAGCCCAGAGCCTGACGCGGGGCTCGAACTCACGGACCGCGAGATCGTGACCTGGCTGAAGTCGGACGCTTAACCGACTGCGCCACCCAGGCGCCCCCTACATATTTCTGATTTTTATTGCTGATAGTACCACTAATTTTTATATTAACCTATATTGTGTAATGTCACTAGATGCACTTGTTGTAGTAGCTTCTTCGTAGATATAGTTTTGATATCTGCAGATAAAGATTTTTCCTTTTTCCTTTCCAATCTGGATATGTATTATTTTATTTTACCTTTACTTCCCTGTTGCATTGGCTAGAACCTCCAGTACAGTATGAATAGATGTTCTGAAAGCAGATATTTTTGCCTGGTTCTCAATCTTAGCAGTATTCATTCTTTCACCATTAAGTTTTGAGTTGCTTTCTTTTTTTTTTTTTATTTAAAAAAAAATTTTTTTTCAACGTTTTTATTTATTTTTGGGACAGAGAGAGACAGAGCATGAACGGGGGAGGGGCAGAGAGAGAGGGAGACACAGAATCGGAAACAGGCTCCAGGCTCCGAGCCATCAGCCCAGAGCCTGACGCGGGGCTCGAACTCACGGACCGCGAGATCGTGACCTGGCTGAAGCCGGACGCTTAACCAACTGTGCCACCCAGGCGCCCCTTGAGTCGCTTTCTTGTAGATGACCTTTCTTAGTTTGAAAATGCTCCCTTATGTTTCTAGTTTACTGAGTTTTGGTCAGAACTGGATGTTGGATTTTGTCCAATGATTTTCTGTGTTTATTAAAAGGTTTTTTTTTTTTTATGTCTTGTTTTTGAGAGAGAGAGAGCGCGCGCATGTGTGAGCAAGCAAGCGGGGGGGGGGGGGTGCAGAAAGAGGGAGACAGAGAATCCGAAGCAGGCTCCAGGCTCTGAGCTATCAGCACAGAACCTGATGCAGGGGTCAAACCCATGAACTGTGAGATCACGCCCTGAGCTGAAGTGGGATGTTTCACCAACTGAGCCACCCAGGGGCCCCTACTGTGAAAGGTGTTTTAAAACATACTTAATATGTTGAATTGAATTTTTTTAATTATTGTATTAAATTACAATTGGTTAGATTCAGTATAGTGATTCAACAGTTCTATATATTAGTGTTCATCATGATATGTGTACTCTTAATATCTTACATATATTTCACCCATCCCCCCACCCACCTCACCACTGGTAACCACCAGTTTGTTCCCTATACTTGAGTCTCTCTTTTTTTTCTTTGTTTTGTTTCCTAAATTCCACATAAGAGTGAAATCATATGGTATTTGTCTTTATCTGACGTATTTCACTTAGCATTTATATTCTGCAGTTCCATAATTGTTGTTGCAAATTACAAGATTTCCTTCTTTTTTATGGACGAGTAATGTCACATTGTTTATGTATACCACATCTTCTTTGTCCATTCGTCTATTGGTGGACACGTGAGTTGCTACCATAATTTGGCGCTTGTATGATGCTACAGTAAACATAGGGGTGCATATATCTTTTCAAATTTGTATTTCTATATTCTTTGGGCAAATAGTAGTGGAATTACCAGATAATGTGGTAATTCTATTTTTAATTTTTTGATAAACCTTCATACTGTTCTCCACAGTGGCTGCATCAGTTTGTGTTTCCATTAACAGTGCACAAGGGTTTCTTTTTCTCTACATTCTTGCCAACACTTACTGTTTCTTGTGTTTCTGATTTTAGCCATTCTCACAGGTGTCAGGCGATATCTCATTGTGGCTTTGATTTTCATTTCCCTGATGATTAGTGATGTTGGGCATCTTTTCATGTGTCTATTGGCCATCGTATGTTTTCTTTGGAATAACATCTTTTCATCTCATCAGCCTACTTTATAATTAGATTATTTGCTTATTTCTGTTCTGAAGATGTATAAGTTCCTTATATACTTTAGATACCAACCCATTACTGGATATGTTGTTTGCAAATACCTTCTCCCCTTCACTAGGTTGTCTTTTAGTTTTGTTGGCTGATTCCTTTGCTGTGCAGAAACTTTTTATTTTGCTGTAGTCTCACTACTTTAGTTTTGCTTTTGTTTCCCTTGCCTCAGGAGTCTAGAAAAATGTTGCTAGTGCCAATGTCAAAGAAATTACTGCCTATGCTCTCTTGTAGGGTTGTTATGGTTTCAAGTCTCACATTTAAGTCTGATCCATTTTGAGTTTAGTTTTGTGTATGATGTAAGAAAGTCGTCTGGTTACCTTATTTTTAATTTTTTTTGAGTTTATTTTGAGAGAGAGAGAAAGAGAGAGAGAGAGAGAGAGTACAGTGATGGGCACAGAGAGGGAGAGAATCCCAAGCAGGCTCCACGCCCAGCATGGGGCTCAGTCTCATGAACTGCACGATCAGGACCTGAGCTGAAATCAGGAGTCCAATGCTCTACCTACTGAGCCACTTAGGAGCCCCTGTCCACTTCCATTCTTTTGCAAGTAGCTTGCCAGTTTTCCCAACCCATTTGTTGAAGAGACTGTCCTTTCCCCATTGCTCATTCTTGCCTCTTTTGTCATAGATTAATTGCCATATAATTGTGGGTTTATTTCTTGGCTTTCTCTTCTGTTCCATAGACTTACATGTCTGTTTTTGTACCAGTACTATACTGTCATGGATTACTGCAGCTTTGGTATATCTTGCAGTCTGTGATTGTGATAGCTCCAGTTTTTTTCTTTTTCAAAAGTGCTGTGGCTACTCAAGATCTTTTGTGGTTCCGTATCAATTTTAGGTTATTTGTTCTAGTTCTATACATTGTGCTGTTGGTATTTTGATACGGATTGCATTATATCTGTAGATTGCTTTAGGTAGCGTCAGCATTTTAACAATATTTTTTCTCCTAGTCCATGAGTAGGGAATACCTTTCCATTCATTTTTGTCATCTTCAATTTCTTCTTTCAGTGTTTTATAGTTTTCAGAACACAGGCCTTTCACCTCCTTGATTATAAGTTT